AACATCAATTTTTTTTGGGGTATAGTCAACCTACAAAATTTTAATATCAATAGCGTCAGGTTAAATGATTGAAAGGATGCATTATAAAATTCAAAGACAGAGATAAAATCTTGTGGGAAGTTAAAGATATTGAGTTCAATTCTTTCTCATCAATTGTTCATTTAAAAATATTGACACAAAGTAGGCATAGTAGTGTGAGGCCTCGCTAAATCTCTTTAGATTTCAAGTTTAGTCCTAGAGAAAACACTTGCGTTGGGAGGGACATTCACAGATCCCAATCAAATTAGTCGGTTTGTTTAAATAGTATAAAAAATTGCTGATAAAAAATTATTGAAATTGTAGCTGAGGTCCTTGATTATAATTTAATCTTGTTAAAAATAATACCCTTGACTGTAACTTTCCCATATAATTAAGCAAAGATGCATTGTCATATCTATCTTAGATCTTAGTTTACTTTCTGTATGAATATAGAACTTGATAAACAAAAAGTGACAACGAAATATCTTAAACAAAATACTGGCTCTTAATTACACAAAATAGAGAACCATATATAGCTGGAGATCATCACAACAAACATAAATAAACACACAAAAATAAAATAATAATTGAGGAAGCTAGCTTAGCTAGCCCTACAACACCACAAGATTTTCTTGTTACTTTGACTAGGAAATCTATCTTCCCTAATGTTCCAAAAAGCGATGGAATTAAGAGTCATCATTTAGGGTGATGATTGAGATTAACTTTTGGTTTGACTCATTTAATCCCAATCCTAAGCTATATTTTTTTTGGGGTCCTTAAGCAGCTAATTTGCCGCATGTTCAGGTGACATCCTCAAGTATAAAACACCCTTATTCAATCCGAAAATCCGGCAAGTAATTAATCATAATTAAAGGCACAATTAATTTATACCAATGCCCTACGTCTTGACCGCACGGGTGGATCCATTCCATACGTGGGGTCCTAATTGATTAATTAATTAATAATTAAATAATAAATTATCATTGCCAAATTATTAATTAAATTATATATTGCTGTCACAAAAAGCTTAGGCATGCCTAGCTACTTAGAGGGCACTAAATATAGAGACAAGTTAAGGATGAATTCAAAGAATTACAGTTTTGTTAAGTAAATCTGTCTCTTGTATTATATATCATTCATGTGCTGCAATTCTCACAAGTGGGTCTTCTTTTTCCCTTTTTCCCTTTTTTCAATTTTTTTCAAATCATTTTGGGGACAGTGTTGCTTCAACCACCTACACGATAATGACGTTAGATTATTAATATTGATGACTTGCTTTGTATGTTTAAATATTATAGTATTAGTTAACATAATTAGGGGCTAACTGTTAAGTATAAGTACTAACAAGAATGAGTTTAGTGTCTGCATGAATGTTGGCACATCTCTTAATTAGAGGGATGTTGACAAGGGTACTTAGTAATATTATTATTTTTATAAACAATCTCTTTTATCTTTTATACTTGTGGATTTTGTTGAGGAAACTTTTTTTAAAAAAAGAATTACACTGTTCATAACTTATACGAATAATAAAGTTTATATTATTGCATTAGAACATTATATTATATGTTAGATGTATAAATTCTTGAATTTGATTGTTGAAGTTAATTATCGCAGCTGTGGTGAGTTGAGAGTTGAAATTTTGCCACCATTGTGATTTCGAGTTCATATTGGGGTAAACTCGCAGGCCAACCCATATTATTATTGTTATTATTATTTATTCTGACAATTTACATAAAAGTGAGATTACAATTCAATTTGCTTCAAATATATTGAACCATTTCAACTTTTGTACTGACTTTTCAAAACAAGATTCAAAGTTACTATAAGGAAGAAATTTGAAGAAACTCATTCCATGTTTTACCAGAGTGTTCTACTCAGTTGTTTGGTGAGGTTTGTGCCAATGAAATTTGTAAAGATTTAATTTAATTGTTTTTATAGTATTGTTGTTTACTTTTTATAGTATACTTGCAGCAACTAACTCTAGACTAGTTTTATTGAGAACTATCATGGTATAATTTGCTATGAGGGAAAGCTGCTCAAAGATTTCTTATGGCAAAACCGAACTATTGTAGGCTCTGATTTTTATTACAAATGCTTGCAAACTTCTCTTCTATGAATCTACAACTCCGATTTGAGTACCTGACAAGCTATTTGTACAAGTTTACTGTGTTGAAAAGAAATTTCTTCAGCTCCAGGTAATGCTTTCCTCCTTTCTTAGCATCATTTGACAAGAAATATTTTTCCATATCCATAATTTCTCATTATTTAATATTGATATCATTTTTAAATCTTGTTTTCTTAACTTTTTTTAAGGTGAAACAAAAGTATCTCAAGCCACATTAAATTTGAGACTATTTTTCTTAACTTTAATTATGTTAGAGTATGACTGTTAAGCATTTGTAACTCGTAAAAACCTCATTTGCTTTGAATGTCAATTTTGTCATTGATTGAAAAAAGAAGTAGTATTTTGAATTTCATGTCATGAGAAAATAATAATAATAATAATAATAATTCTGATTGGTCAATGTTAAAGGGAAATGGCTGAGGCGATCAGCTTTAGGAGTCACCGAACGCCGAACTTCGTGTGTTGACTGATTTAACGTTTTATCACTTTTTTCCATTTCTTCATAACCACTCATTCTTCTAACGCTCTCCCTTTTTCCCCTCACATTGTCTTCCTAATTTCTATTGCTACTTATTTGCATATAATTAAAGATATAGGAGTATATACAACAGATACTTCTAACCCATTTTCCAAAAACAAAAACGAAGCCTTTATTTATTGTGATTAGATTGGCATTAATAATGTCATAATAAGCACAAATATAATCAATATAGGTGACGTATGGTCATTTAAAGAAAGACCTGCTATGAAATAAATCCTCATAAAAGAACTTGAGTAAGGCCTTTTTTATATAATGTTATTCATTTATGTCGACTCTAATTTGAGTCACGTCGTAAAAATATACGCAAGTTTGACATTAATTAATGTAAATGATTTGTTTCAAATAAACAAAAAAGCGATTAATTACTCTATTTGACATAAGTTATACACTAATTTTGAGCAAAGGACATTTTTCTAGGTAAAATAAAAAAATAATCAATTCCGTTTTTACATACTAATTTTTTCTTTCCTTCTCTTACTTAGTCATTATTGAAAAAATATTAATAGAGTTAATTTGAGAAAAAATTGATAAATATGTGAAATAGCTCTTACATATAAAACCAACATCGACTCTTTATTTAGACCCGATATTAAGGACCAAAGAAGTGCTTCTTATTCTTTATTTTGTGTAATGACTAATGGTTATCTAAGTTTTAGAATATTAAAAAAATTAGTTAAATTGATTATTGTAATAAATACTATCCCCGGTCTTTAACATAAAACCAATTGATTAATTTAAAAAGATTAAGAAAGTTATTAAATCACTTAATTATAACATATGTTACATAATCTCTCTAAAATATTTATATTTATCATTAGATTATATAACCATTTATAAGTGAGTCAAATTAGTTTGGAGAAAAATGATAAATAAAAATATTTTAAATTAATTTAGTATCTTTTTTAATCTCCTCAAGTTATTTAATTGTATCTTATATTAAGGATAGAATGTAATATGCATTAAGTTCCCTAAGCTATCTTATTTAATAATGGGCATTGAAACTATCCCTTATTGGTAGGAACCCCTTATAATTACTATGTCAGAAATAAAATAGATTGAGATTTTATATTTAAAATTAAATCTAATCTTATAATGAACTTTTGTATTGAGGATGGAAAGTAGTATGATGTGAATGAAGGAGAAAGAGAAGGGGGCGTATAAGTAATTTAGGAGGCAGAAACTGAATTTGGAAGTTAGTGAAAAATAGGTAGGGGCGGGGGTGAGTGAGAGTCTTTTTCAAGCATTGGGAGAGAAAGAGAGAGATGTGTGATTGAAAGATTATTGAATGAAAGAAAACACAGAGTTGGCGTCTTTTGGCCTCCACGCTGCTCAAAACACGCTCTCCTCTCTCTCTCTCTCTCTATTTATCTCCTTCCTCTTCGCATACACACGTTTTCCCCTTAATTAAATTAATTTTCATCTCCCACTAATTATTCTACTAATATATCCTATTAATATTGGTAACAAAACACACACATATATGCGCACACATAAAATTTTAAATGTTGGGTTTGGTTGTGGTCTGTAATGATACCGAGTTCCCCATTCTTAAATGTGAAATTGTAAGTTCGAACTTTCTGTATAATTTTATACATGTTAACTAAAAATTTGCGACTAGATTCAAATATTTCGCTCACTTAGTACCTGTTATTACTTAGCTTATTGAATTTTTCTAGCCAACAACCTCTTCCCAAGAATATTTATCTACAATATTGTGTTTACTATTAATTACAAAAATACAAAATAATTTCCTTCTTTCTTAGAAAAGTAGTACTCGTATATAGAACCCATATTATTATTTTTATATACAAAAGAACTCGAACTAGACGGATTATTTATTATTCTTTTTAGACAATTATGAAAGTTTGATCCCACACTATTATAATTAATTATAACGAAGAATACACGAAAATTTATTTAGAAATTAGAAAGAAAGATAAACAAGGTGTTAGAAAAATGAAAGGTAACAACATACAATTTTGGTAACTACAAATTAATCAAAATCATAGAAGATGCCACTTAAACCAGAGTTTCTAAATTAAATACACCACCTTTCTGTTTAAGCCTTTCCTTCCTTTTTTTCCCCCCTTTATAATATACTTATTTGTTTTTTAATTTCTCTCCTTTTTGACTATACAACAAAATCCTCTTTCAAGAGAAATACATCATCATCGCCATCACTGCCATTAAATCAAACCTATCTTCCCTCACATAAAACTCATCTCCCCCCTCATGAATGAACATATACATCTCTAGAGAGAGAAAGAAGGGAGAGAGAGAAGAGAGACAAGAAGATGAAAGAAGGAAGGAGTTCGAGAAATAATAGGTGGTAGTAAGAGAGGTTATCGCATGTTTGCTTCACGCAAACAACTAAATGTCGTGTGTTAACCCCCTCCTCCTCCTTCCCCTTTGCTCCTTCGCGTGGCTTTAAAGACTTCTTCTATATCCTTTCAAAATCCCTCTCATTAAATATACTCTAACCCCACCAAACCCGACAATTTTCATCTCTCTTTCTCTCTCAAACACCTCAATCATATTCTCATCATCATCATCTTCCTCTAAACCCTAATCTTCTGATTCCTGTCTCAGAAGATCAATCATTGTTCCCCGTTAAAGATGAGTACGAGCTCCACCAGTAACGTTACTGGTAGTGTTGGTGGAGGAGGAGGAGGATGCGGTGGGGGAGGAGGAGGTGGTGGTGGTAGCGGCGGCGGTGGAGGGCCGTGCGGTGCCTGCAAGTTTCTGAGAAGGAAGTGCGTGCCGGGGTGTATCTTCGCGCCGTACTTCGACTCCGAGCAAGGCGCGACGCACTTCGCGGCGGTGCACAGGGTGTTCGGAGCAAGCAACGTGTCGAAGCTGCTTCTGAATATTCCGGTGCACAAGCGGCTGGACGCGGTGGTGACGATTTGCTTCGAGGCTCAGGCTCGGCTGAGAGATCCTGTGTATGGATGTGTCGCCAACATCTTCGCTCTTCAGCAACAGGTACTATAATTAATTAATTAATTCAGCTATATATATATTTGCTTAACTTGTTAATGAATGAATAAATCAATCAATTTACATTTAATATACATCCATGTGATGCATTGCTCATGTGATCTCTAGATAAGGATTGATGAGGTTTGTTGTTGGCATATTCTTCTGAGAAATGTTCGACCATACCATTTGTTTGTTTCTTTCTTTGTCTTTTATCATCGGTACTTTGGTTTGGTCTCTTCGATATATATATATATATATATATGTGTCTGTAGCTGACTACGGTACGGAAGAAGAAAGAAGAAGAAGAAGAAGCTGGGTGTGGGTGAATGAATCTTTAGAAAGTGATCTTTCGAACCCGTTTTGATTTCGGAAACTCTCAGAACACAGTACGGGGTTGAAACTTGGACATTGACATAGTCATTTCTCGTACGGCTATGGTGTGTTCTTAATTAATTAGGATTCTTTTTAGAGTAAGATTTAGATTTTTAAGGTAGGATTATTATGGGCTATACTTTCCTTAGCTCCTATTATAACACACTTCCAACCATTTCATCGGAATTTACAAGTACAATTAAGTGAATAAATTTGACTGAAAATAAAAAGAAAACCCAAATTTAGTATTATTTATGAATCACACTTTGAGAAGTGAAAAAAGAAAATTGTATCAAGCTTTAAATAGGTGTAATCTTGAAAAACTGTAATTAATACTCATTTGGTGACTTTAATCTCGTTTAGAAAGCGTCTTTCAATAAGGATTAGAAAACTGTGTGATATATATATATATATATATATATATATATATATATGGGGGGTAATACAAAGTTGTGAGGAAACTGACATTTATTTGATCAAGTAACCCACTATCTCTGTTTTAATAGTTTGTTTTTTAGCTCAAGAGTGAAAAACGGCTTTGACCCAGATCCCTTTGATGAACACATCTAATTTGGATGGTGGTTTTTATGTCAATAATTTATTTGATTAATAATTCAAAGGAGAAAAAAGTGATCAAAGGAGTTATTATTATTATTATTATTATTGGGAAAGGAAGAAGTTGGTTTTAACTCAAAGTCCTCATCGGCTTTTATATTTATAATAAGCATAAATACGTACTATTAAATAGACCTAACTTCTAAAAAATGCATAAACTAATTAACGTAGTGTCAAGTCATTTGATTCTACACGTCAATAGAAACTTTAAGTAGGATTTTAATTATAGTATAAACTATATATATGATCAAAAGCATTACCTTAACCAGTTTTCACTGGTTTATTTTGCAGTCAACTCACACGATAATTACTCGAAAAAGGGTTCCATTATCAGAACTATACTTATCTAATATTTTCCCCAACTGGTGAAGTTAAATCTTTCAAAATGTCATCAATTCACCATCAATAACTAGTTTTTGTGATTAATAATTTATTTTGATTGCTTATTACATACGTTGCTTGAGGGATATATATATATATATATAGAGAGAGAGAACGTAAATAGATCTTCTAGAGTCTAAATTATCCCTGCATTTTTTTTTTGGTTGCCCAAAGAATATGCTTAATATATAGCTAGGTAGTTTAAATATTGCAAAATTTTCATTTGTTAATTAGAATTATAATTTTTCAGTCTTCGGTTAAAAAATTGTATATAACTTAAATGATCCGGATAAAGAAGGTAGGAAAACCCAAAAACATGAAGGGTGGAAAGACGTTAAAGAGAAAAAATTGAAAGAAAAATGGAAAGCAAGAAGGTTAGGGAGGATGGCATGAAACCTAGGAGGACAGATTCATGCTTTTTGCTGAATTCTATAAAGAAACCCCTCACACATCTCTCTCTCTCTCTCACTCAAATTTAGGATGAGATGGTGTACTATAGGGAAAGATTTGCAAATAAATTGTAGTATTATTATTATATTATTAATATAAAATTTATTGGAAATATAGGGCCCATGTATAGTTTTAAAAAAAATAATTTAAAGAATAGTATTTTGAAAGAGATGAGATGAAGTGGTCGGCGGTTACCCGCTGGGCGTTCATCTCCCCCTTCTGGGTTTTGCTTGTTTTGTGGATTTGGTCGGTTAGTTTCTCGGTTTCCTCCATTTTTTCTGTTTTCTCTCTTTTCTTTTATTTTGTCCCTATCACGTCTTTTCGGTTTCAGCCAACAAAATAATAACAAATAAATCATTTAAAACAAACATTTGAAGTAGACAAAAAAGTGCTACTTTTTTTTCAATCTAGAAGGATTACATTTTAAGATCTATGTATCTTTTTAGAAAATGAAAAAAATGGGTGAAAAGACCTTGTATAAAAACTTGTGGACCTGAATTATTTGATACTGACACATTTACATGTATAGAGTAAAACACCTTTATTATCTTTTGTATCTTGCCCTTCTTTTATTTTAAAAATATACACTTAAGTGCACATTGTTAACTACATAAAAAAAATTCTAAAATAATATTTTTTAATTAGAATTTTTATTGAAATAATTTAATCTTCATAATACTAAACCTGTAAATTTTGGCCAAACATTTTTTAAAGAATCTAAAATTTTTTATTTTTCTTAATTTTATTTTTTTACAAAAAATTTTATTTAATGTTTTAATCATATTCTGATATAAAATTAAGTAATTTAGTTAATATAGAAATAAAAAAAATGAATGGAAATTTGATTAATTTTTAAATAAATATATAATTAGTCAATAAATTATAAATGTTTCTAACAAATTTTTTACCTAAAAATTTTAAGTTATAAATTTAAATGATTTTTACAATCTCTCAAAATTAGATAATTAATATTATATGATAAAAAAATATGTATCAATATATTTTATAGCAACTTAAAAGAAACATAAATAAATAAGTTTCAATATATGTGATGAAAAATTATAAAATTTTATAATATAAAAAATTAATAAATTTGATTACATTTTAAAAATTTTGAAAATACAGGAATTCAAATTATTTTTCATTGTATTAAAAAATATTTTTTTGACAAGTACAAATGTTTAGATAACTTTTATATTTAAGATGTGTATTTTGATCAAAACAAAAGTGTAAAAGTCAAACTTAATAATGAACTAATAGTGAAATAGATGAAAATGAAATATCCAATATATAAAGAAGGTCCGTGTAACATACATTTGAATTTTAATAAAAATTTATACATGTTTTTAAAATAAAGAGAAGGTTTTTATAATTTAAATAAAATAGAGGGGTAATTAGTATATTTTACTTTTATATACACACACAAAAAGTAACAATATTTCACATAATTTTATGTACAAAAAGTATTGGTACTTGAATTTAGGTCTTCCTGCCTAATAAAATTTTCAAATAAGTTTTTCACCTATTTTTCGGAATAATACTTATTCTTAGCTTTTATATTTATCTATTAGTCTACCCTTTATTTCGTAGAAGTAAACCAAATTATGTTATTTGGCTGGTTAAAATTATTTTTTCGCTACGTAATTTAATTGTTTGTGTTGAAGTATTTGAGTGATTGAGTAGCTTGACCCTAAATTATTTTATAATTGCACTATTGTGTCCTTGAGAATAAGTTCAAATTTTTAGTTATATACATTTATATAATTGATAAAATTACACAAAAACCCTCTTTAAATTATAAGTACAAATAATCTCAGTAACTTTTAAAATTTAATAACAATTTTTTTAGCTTTCAAGTTTGTGAATCATAATAATCAATTATATATCCTCTTGAGCCTTAAGCTTGATTTTTGTGCAGCCCCCTCAAAAATATTCATAATAGTAGTACTTTATTGTTGGGAGACCATGAGGGTAGATAGATCCAAAGGGGACAAATTTTCTAAACAGACAAAGTTACTTTAGAAGTTTATTTATAATATATAATTAACTATTATTAGTCAATCCTCTCATTACTTTTTAATATTTTAATGATCCTCATTACATATTGCCGTGTGAGTGTTTAACTACTATTAGCCAGCTCCTGGTCTTTGATTAATACTAGTAGCCAGCCCCATTATTTGATTTAATCCCCATAACTAATCCCCATATTGCTCTAATTATTGGTCACTCCTCTCAAATTCCGATTAATTAACGAAAATCATAAAAGAAAATATGTATATGACAATTATGTTAACTTTTACTAGCACTCATAATAAATTTCTACTCTATGTAGCTATCTTATTAAATGTATTGGTAATTTAAATATATGACAATGATTAAATTAACACACACAAACACATCTTACATCCTTGATGTTATTTACTGAAATTATTCTAATGGGAAAAAATGAATAACTAATTTATTGTGGGATGTAAACATAGGAACAAATATAGTAATCATTTGGTGTTATTTATGGGGCAGGGAAAGAAAATAGTTTTTGGTCTTATTTACAAAGCGGAGAAAGAAATCTTTCATATGAATGAATAATTGTACCCTTAATTTATTATTGTGCTGATTTTGTTTTCAATATGATGTATATAGGGATAAGATTGAAAAGTTGTTAAATTTTAAATAAAAATTAATGAAATTTATGGTTTTGTCTTGGTTTCTTTAAGACATGTTAGAATTGACTAGATAAAATCAGAAGAGCATCAAGCAGTGGCTGGCCAAAAAAAAGGGGAGTGTTGAATACTGAAAAACTAATGAGGATTGAGGGTTATTAGATTTATTATAATTTATACAATAATCTTTGTGTTTTCCATTAGTTAATTAGGCACGTATTTGTTTAATTTTTCCAATGACGCGGTTTATTGAAAAACTCTACTTTAAATGTTTTATGATTGACCTCAATAAGTTTGTTTCAAAGTCAACATTTCATACTTGTCATTCCTAAGTTTATACCCACCCTTATCGAAACTCTCACACTTATTCGTTGTTCTATGCTTAATGATATATATATATATATATATATATATAGTTTAAAATTAAATTATTCTGTGTTAAAATTCACATAGACGCACGCAAATGAAGGTAAATTTCAAAACAATCTTGTACAATAGGAGTATTAAGAATTAAATGATGGATCGACATTTTAAAGCCACTTGACATTTACATCATCATCATCATCATTATTATTAAAGTTGATTGGTCCAACAGGTTGTGAGCCTACAAGCAGAACTTTCATACTTGCAAGGTCACCTTGCTACATTAGAGCTGCCCCAACCACCACCTCCTCCACTACCACAAGCAACACCGACGCCAACAACTCTCTCAATCGGTAACGTCCCGTCCGGCATAGCCACTTCTCTTCCGGTAACATATGATTTATCTTCTCTCTTTGATCCGATGGCCCAAAGTCCTTGGCCCTTGCCACACCGGCCCATGGATTCCCACCAATTTGGATCTAGTGGCTTACCGATAATAGGCCGTGGTAGTGGTAGTGGTAGTAGTAGCGGTAGCGGTGATCTTCATGCCCTAGCAAGAGAACTGCTCAACAGACATGGATCTCCTCCATCTTCAGCACCCATGGCTTGCTCCAAAGCTTCATCTTCATCACCATCATCACTTTCCAAATGATGATATTCTGATTCCAACAAACCAATCTTGGTCTCCTTAGGAAAAAGGATTTTTATATAATTTCTTAAAAGGAATTCAAATTAGCCGGTAATTATAATAACTGTTCTTTAAATCTTTTTTCTTTTCTAAATCCCAGTCCCCTTTTTGAGCTAAGTACTAATTAATGAACTTATATTATAATGTAGCCCTCCATTATTAGTTAATCATTTTCAATCTTTTGCTTTCGTCATCACTTAGTTTCTTGTTTGTCTTGGTAACTTGAGAGATGTTACAATTATTCTGCACAATTTTTTCGTTTTAATATGAAAGCAATATAATTAGAGACGTTAGTCACATTACAAGTAAAATATTTCTTCACTCTCTTCTTAATAGTATTTATTTATTTAGCTCATTCGTGATTTAAAACTTGTGTAATTACTTGAATTTTGATTTTGAATTATTTAAACTTGTATTTAAACTACGTGTTAATTTTTTTTTGGCGAATATGTTCTATTTTATGATGATACCAATTGTATCATAATTGCGGGCGCAGGTAATAGTAATTCCGGCCCTCGTATCACTCTTTTTCTTATAAATTTTGGGCTTCCTTCTTTTTTGGGCCAAGGTCAATTTTGGGCTTTCTTTGTTTTATGGGCCAGAATCAAATTTGGGCTTTCGAAAACCAAATACATCCCCATATTGTCTTCTAAAATCTCAGATTTGCAAGCTTTGTCAGAATCATTTTCAGCTTCAAAGCAACATAATCTCTCTCATTTTAACTCAAACTTTTGATGATCTTAATGTGGCTTTTAGAAAACTTATTCCACAAGCTTTTCAATCATATAAATTAATTATTGAACTTTCTTGTATGTATTGAAAATGAATAGGCCCCAAATTTTATTGTTCAACCATAGTTTTTTGGAAAAATGTTCGTCTCATTTTCCTTTGATGGCTTATGCATTCTTTCCCAACTTTTTTCCTTTGATTCAAATGAGGAAGCCAAGCCAGGGTTTTTATGATTCATTCCTCTCAATAGGAGATACAAAATATAGCAACAAGATCAATCTAATCCTAGGATGGGTTTTCAAACACTACCATATGTTTGATAGAGTGTTATGGTGGGTGAGCTGGAAAATGGAGAATTAGGTAAATAGGCTAGTCCGTTAAAAATAGGCTAGTCTGTTTAGGCACATTGAAAAATAAAAATTTAAGACCAATTATGCTATCATTAGCCAAGAATAAATTAAAAAAACAAAAAACAAAAACAAAAAACAAAAACAAAACGGCCTAATTTTACTTGCTTATATATTTACATATAATTGGAAAACCTTATATTGAGGAATGAAGCTAGCAATGCTGCTTTAGTTGTAAACTCAACGGTTTCACTGGTCACTGTTCAAACTTTGACCTGATTTATAGTCTTCGCCTGTGCTGGTCTCAGGATTATGAGAACGTGATTTTGTTTTCTGATTATGGAAGTATTTAGATGTAATCAAAATTATGGTTTTAAAAGTGATTTTACTGTATATAAAGGGGTTGTTTGATTATTAAGTACTTTTTAACAAATCGAGATAAACTTCTTCACATATTTATTTCATATACTGTAAAATCACTTTTAAAATCATGATTTTGATTCATCCAAACACCCTCAAAATAAATATGTGGAGAAGTTTATCTCTATTTGTGAAAAAGCACTTTTTTAAAAAATACTTTTCTATATTGAAGCTATTAACTTTTTTTTTTTTGCTAAAGCATAGGTATTCTCTTATTGGAGGCAATCCTATTCGAGGCATTGTCTGACACTAAATGTGGACACCTCTCCCAACAGGGATTCGAACCTTAGTTCGTTACGTTGTGAGGGATTGATGACTCGGAGATTTGATTAGGACCATTCGTATAGTGTATCGATAATATAATTCAAAGCCCAAAAGTCTATCTGACCCAAAAAGAAAGCCCAAAAGCCTATAATCAAATGTTGGCCCAATGGTTTTAACCTCTATATTTTTTAAAGTTGGTTTTGAATCATGTTATTGGTAAAAGATAACGGATTTTGACATCAGTATTCGATAATAATATTAATATGAAATTTAAAACAAGTCATATCACATCATATTGATTATAAAATGTGAACTGTACAATCCATTTATCACTCTTTGTATATTTTTTCATCAATTGTTCACAATGTGTGTCGTGAAAAAGGGATTTTGCGTTGAATAGTTTTATCTAATAGACTGTGAAAATGATTATTTAGAGTAGAATTAAACAATCACTTGATAATTTGATCAAAAAATACAAACACGTGTCAAATTTTATTTTAACTTATTTAATATATATATTCTAATTCTTAGTTCATCTTATTAACTAATGTTACTTCTGATTTCCCAAATTAGTGAATACTTCATCCAGTTCTATATATTAATTATTTTCTAAAATGATGGCCCTACAGCTTAGTTATTTTGCATAAAATGATTAAGCATTAATTAAAGTTTTTAAAAGTCTTCCTCATTTATAACTTTTTAGATGTTTCTTTTTTAAATTCATGCTACTATTTCATTTTAAAATCATTTTGATTATATAATTACCACTTTTTTACCAAAGCGAAGTAGTTCGAAGTCTCACATACTTAGGAACAAATGAAGCATAACATAGATAAAGAAACAATTAAACACAAATAATTAATACAATTTTAAAATTTTGAAATTAAAAATAATTCTTCAAAAAGTGATACTCCCTGTTATATTAATAAATCATCTTCTAGAAATTTGTATACTTCTATTTATAGGTCAGTTTTGCCGGATCTGTAAAATAAAATCATTTGTTTCCAATAGTGTAATTGATATGGACTTGTTGACTGATAGGGAGTGGTTGAAAGAAAGAGCATGAATGAGTTTTTGTTTTTTTTTTTTGGGTCAAAAGAGCATGAATGAGTTAAGAATACACTCATTATTTTTGTTATTAAGGATATTTTAAAAGGTTACGATTTTCGAGCTGAATTTTAAAAAGGGTAAGATAATTTTGATAATTTTATTCAATTCGTGTAAATTAATTAAAAATGAAGAGATGAAAAAAGCATAAAAAAGTCAACTGTTTACAATGATGAAGGACAATCATATCATGTATACTACCTCCGATTCTTAATATAAGACCTCGTTTGATTTTTATTTTGATCTTGAATATAAGACTCCAATCAACTTTGTTTCTTATATTTATACAATTTTTTCTAAGATAGTCCTTCTAATAATTGTAGTCTTAACCAACACACTTGATTAACAAGAATATTTTAAGAAAGACAACACATATTTATTATAAATAACTCACTTAATTTATTTTCTTAATCTCCTTAAATGGTCAACTTATATATATATATATATAGATATAGATATATAGGCTATAGATTATAGATTACAGGCGGATAGATTTTTTTTTTTTGGACCTGAGATTACAGATGGATAGATTCTAGATTATAGATTTGGTTCAGAATTGAGTGTGTGACAAGTATGTAGGAGCCAATAAAAGATAAGACAACAATCGCTTCTAAAAGAGGTGAGGACTGACTTTATAGGTTTATTTTTTTGGGTCAAATTTATAAGTTTATTTTGAATAAATGTATTTGATTTAAAATTGACCCAAATCAGATTGAACCAAACAAAGCTTACATCAACCCATGGCGATCAAGAACCATGTAAAACAATTATTTTAAAATTAATATAAAATAGATATTGTTTTTTTTAATAGGATCCTTAATAGTCATTTCCCCCTAAAAGTTTAACTAAGATTTTGATTGGGCAATTAATGTTCTTGTATAAAATTCTATTTGTAATTTTGAAAAAATTGTTCGTAATCTCCGCTGTTTATTTATTAGCGATTAAATTTATTAATGTTTAATAGAGGAGCAACACTAATCCAGTTTTAGAATTTTAGGGTGACGTTGCACTTCCAACTTTCAGAAAAATGGTGCCTTTCAAGAAAAATACCTCGGGACCAAAAATACATTATATGTTTTTCAAAAGGAGAAAATTACAATAATTTTATCTTTAAAGGCTCTGTTTGGCATTTCTTAAAATTATTTATAAAAAAAATAAAACTTCTTCTATATACTTGTCTCATATTCTGTAAATCAGCTATTTAGAAACCATTTTATATAGGCAAAGTCATCCAAAATAAACCAAAAAAAAAAAAAGGAAGAAGCCAAACCAATTCAATTCCTCAGCTATTCTAAATTTTGTCGGTCCGGGAACCAATTATCAAATTAAATAAACCAAACCTTTGAACAACTTTAACTATTATAAGAAACTAGATCTCAACTCATTGTGTAGCATGGAGTCCTCTTGAAACCACGCCATCTGAAACTCTCCATGTGACAATAGTTTATCATTTGCATGCATCGGTTGATTTATGGAAATTTTTTAGGCAACTTACATTTGCATTACGAATTAATATGATATCTAATCCTTCTTCTTTTCTCTTGTCCATAAGAATATCTTATCTTTACATTGCCGAGGTTGTTAACTACTTCTCCTCGGGTTGTCAACAGCCACCGTTAATGTTGTAAATGAATTGCATTGGGTTCAAATTAATGGGAGTAAATATGTAATTTTACAATTATAATTTATTACACACACGTCCCTGGGAACTCAGGAATCATTTCGGGATTTCTATGGATTTTTTGTGAATTAATTGTCCTGTGGAATCTGAGTGTAATTTTCCCAAAATTAAATAAAACTCCTCAACTTTTTCTTAAAACTCATCAACATTTCAATTTTATCAATATGTAATATATAAACTATAGCTTGCAAAATAACAAAGGAAGGGTAAAATAGTAAATCTAAGTTAAAAATTTAATGAAATGACTTATAATTAAGACTAAAAGTATTTTCTTAGTCTTGTAAATAAAATAAGAGGAGTACAAAAAATTAATAAGTAAGGTTAAAAATGGGTCAGACGGCTTGTCAAAGGCATATGACCTGATTTGTTTGAAAAAGAAACAGGCTCAAACCTTCCAAAAAGCCTGTTTTTATTAACAAGCCAAGCTTGGGCTTGTTAAGAAACCTGTTAAGCCAGACAGGCGATTTGAGCTTGTTATAATTTTAGTTAATATGTTTTTTCCAACAATAGTGGCTAATACTATCTTCGGTCCTTAATATAAGAGTTAATTGGCTAATTTAAGTAAAATAAGAAAATTCGTTAATTTAGTTATTTGTAAGAAATATGTATCTCTTTCTCAAAATGCCCTTGCTAATAATGTGTATTAGCTAAAACTACGATATCATGAAACCTTGTATATGTGCAACTACTATAAAGACTACCTTAAAAAAATAAAAAAATATGAAAAATAAAGTGTATTAGAATTTTATATTTAAGATTAAATTAAAAATTAAACTAATTTTTATATTAAAGATTAGAGGTAATGTTTAATTTCTCACCCTACCTATCCTTGATAAATATTTTTCCTTTTTGACTGAACCTTAGCCGCTCGCCTACTTTTGTCCTGATGAATGTTGTTTTTTCTTTTTGCCCAGTGTCCCTTTTTGTTTTTCTTTCTCAATTTCACACCTGCAACGATATAGTACATGATTGGATTGGAGCCATTTTTATTTCATAAATAAAGACAAGAGAAGTGCAAATTTTATAGGTAAATAATTTCGTGAAAGCATAAAGAACTTTGCCGAGAACAAAATCACACACACACACACACACAGCAACTCATAATTGGAAACCATTGAACTTGAGAATTTGCTGACTCCAGTCCACGTACAGGAAAGCATCATTGGAGAGAAATGAGGACATATATACACTATACACATATATACATGTATAATTATAGTAGGTGGGTTCCTATTTTTAAATACTATGAACTTTGTACCTATAATCAAAATTGTTATTTGGTGTTATATTATCAATTAATTAGATTATATCATATTTTATTTTATATTTTAGATAATTTAGATTGAGTTATTATAATTTTAGATTGATTTATGTAATTATGACTTATTTTTTTGGCTTTTGGAAGTTTTTAAAAATAAAAACTTTTTTAATAGGCTTCAGGTCTAACCAGACCTTTATTAGGTCAGGTTTAGGTTGTAAAAAAGGCGTCTAACAGGCCAGTTTTTGTTTGATTTGTTTCCACCCTTGTTACTAAGTAATGATATTTATATAATTTTTTTTAAGTGAAGGATTGAATATTTATCTAAAAATTTATTTACCCTTTTTGTTGCATCTCTAAATGGTATGCAATAATGATATTATAAAAGCAAAAATTTTTTTTTTTTTTTAAATGTAATAAATAGCTCAAAAATCAAGTGTAATGCTACAATTTTTTTCTACCTTGAATGTAATGACTCAACTTAACCTGATAGTAGGATGTAAGCTGATGGTACTAAAATACTTCCTTAAATTTTCTTACAAAAAAAAAACTTCCTTAAATTTTTTTTGGACATGATATTATCAATTCAACTCTCAGAGAATATAATGAGTGCGTTGGTAAATGATATATATTTTTTTGCCAAGATGACAAAAAACCTTAATAGTTAGGAAAATGCAATTTAAATATGGATATAAAATCTTCAAATTACTTTTTTGGACTTAAAATTTTCGAGTTCCTTGTAATTTTTATTGACAGATAATTCACTTAAGGGGGTTATAAAATGAATTGTTGTTTCGCCGAATTTAAAAAATAAAAAGACTTTTCAGTGAAAATTGAGAGAAAAAGTAGAAAACAGACAAAAAGAATTATCAAGACATCGTCCGAGATTTGCACTTAATTAATAATTAAGCCATCTTACCATAGAAGCAATATCTTTGTAGCCCATAGTTACCCCTACCTCATCATTTTATTACTACACAACCCCACTTATCCACCATGAATGGAAGGGCGTTCCAGTCATTTCGTACCTGATCTTGGACTTTCGAGGAGCGAACCTAAACGAGATCTCAAATCTGACCCTTCTCCTTCCTTACGATCTGATCCTCTGAACCTCACTTCTTCCTCCATTGATGAAAGAAAGAATCGAGTGGGCATAATAGGAGCTGGGGCGCGACCTCATAACTCACTGAGTTAACTCGCTGCCATTGTTGAAGCAACTCACTGAGTTCATGGAAAGATCTTAGCTCGAAGCGGCTTCGTTTTCATTCTCCAATTTCGAGATCCCAACTGTCACTAACTCAGAGATCCTTTCCAGCTCGGGAATGGCTTCTTCGGAAGCCGATTCCCGTCTGAGTCAGGTCGTTGTCCCTGCCCTTGAGAAAATCGTCAAGAACGCTTCCTGGCGAAAGCACGCGAAGCTTGCTCATGAGTGCAAATCGGTTATCGAAAGGCTTAATTCACCTCAGACACAGGAGTTACCTGGCTCACCCTCCGATAACGAGCCCGAGACTTCGGTGCCGGGGCCACTCCATGACGGTGGTCCTGTGGAGTACTCGCTTGCGGAGTCTGAATCGATTCTTAGCCCTTTGATCAATGCGGCCAACTCTGGTGTCTTGAAGATCGCTGATCCTGCTGTTGATGCTATCCAGAAATTGATTGCCCATGGTTATCTACGCGGCGAGGCGGACTCCGGAGGGGGTGGTTCCGAAGCTAAGCTCTTGGCTAATTTGATTGAGTCAGTATGTAAATGCCACGATTTGGGAGACGACGCAATGGAATTGTTGGTGCTGAAGACGCTTTTGTCTGCTGTAACGTCGATATCTTTGAGAATTCATGGTGATTGCTTGCTCCTCATTGTAAGGACTTGCTATGATATATATCTGGGTAGTAAAAATGTGGTGAATCAAACGACGGCTAAGGCGTCGTTGGTTCAAATGTTAGTGATAGTGTTTCGGAGAATGGAGGCGGACTCTTCCACCGTCCCAATTCAACCAATTGTAGTGGCTGAGTTAATGGAACCTGTTGAAAAATCCGATGCAGACAGTTCAATGACGCAGTTTGTGCAAGGTTTTATCACGAAAATTATGCAGGATATAGATGGCGTGCTTAACCCTGTGACCCCTGGTAAAATTTCTTTAGGTGGGCATGATGGTGCATTTGAGACCACTGCAGTGGAGACCACTAATCCTACGGATCTGTTGGATTCCACGGACAAAGACATGCTAGATGCAAAATATTGGGAAATCAGTATGTATAAGACAGCATTGGAGGGAAGGAAGGGTGAGTTGGCGGATGGGGAGGCCGAGAGAGATGATGACTTGGAGGTTCAGATCGGAAATAAGCTGCGGAGAGATGCCTTTTTGGTGTTTAGAGCACTTTGTAAATTATCTATGAAGACGCCTCCCAAGGAGGCCTCAGCTGACCCGCAGCTGATGAAGGGGAAGATTGTGGCACTAGAGTTATTGAAGATTTTGCTGGAGAACGCTGGAGCTGTATTCAGGACTAGTGAAAGGTACCATTTTTTCTTTTTCTTTTGGATTTGGATAAGTCGGAACAATAGTGAAAAGTATCATTACTTATTAGTCAACTTGTTGCTTTCTTTTGTTTTGCTTGATGAGAATTTTCCTGGAAACGTTTTTAATGTGAGCGCTTTTATTAGGTGGGAAAAGAATGTACCGTGGCCTGATTTTGTTGATAGGCAGCATGTAGATCTGCATTTAGCTTAATTTTGAATGTAGTAAACACCACTGCATTGGCTGGAAGTTCTGTTGAATAGGTGTTGCTTCCACACTCCACAGGTGTATATTGAACAATTTGAAATGACATCATGACAAAATTGTGGATGGTCATTGGAAAGGAGTATGACTCTACATTTGTACTAGGCGCATTCTTTATTAAACACAAACTTTATGAATAATTAAGTAAAGGCCATATGTTGATAAAAATAAAAGATAATTAGGGAGGTATGCTGCAATAGTTAGTTAATCTAAAGAGAAGCAGGGGATAATTTTAATTCTAAAACTTTCTAGTTCAGTATTACATGATTAGATTTTAGTTGGTCTGGCGGAATTCTGCTTTGCAGCTTTTCTGTGGTCTGAGGAATTCCATTTAAGCATTCAAATAGAAATAATCTCTGGGCAGAGTTGTTTTTAAACTAAAATTATACATTGGAAGCTTCATTTCCCCCAAAAAAAAAAGAAAAAAGGAAGCTACTCAACTATGTTGGAGTAGTGGTCGCCAATATCTAATATAATATTTGAAGCTTCAAAGTAGCTTGGTGCAAGCATGCTGAGCGTAAAGGCACATTGTGTTTTTGTTACTCTGACATTCTCTCCTTTCCATAGAGCTTACAATGAAGATTTAAATGCGAGCAACATATTATCTTTGCAATCCTGAGTCTTGTCATGGATATCTATGCAGTTTTTGTTTTTCACTGCCAATTTGGGTGAGCACCCGTGACATTCTGAGCAGAAAATTGGGGATTTTGTTTAACTCTTTTATAATTCCAAATATATGGGCTTCCAAAATTCAGATGTCAGCGACACCGTTTATTTCCTTGTCCATTATCCTGCTTCTTTTACCTTCTGGAATAAGCAATCTGGACTTGTTAGAGGCCTAAGGTAGAGACTGTTGGCATGCTGTGACAATACAGAAAATTTACATCTGCTTTCCTGTTAAAAGTTAAATCTTTATTTGATTTACCAGATGCAACTTGAAAGCTACATTTGTCCTCCTGTATCTTGTTTCTTCAGCATCTAATTGAGGAAATGACCAAAACATAAAAGTGCCCCCTTTTGTGGCCAACACATATTACAATGCCCTAAACTGTTCATAAATTGCACAGATTCGGTTTTTGCTTTTATATTTTTTTTTTCAGTGTACATAGACTACTAAATGAGCATTTGGATGAATAAATGCATGATAGGTTTCCTGCGTTATTTTAGACTCAGCAAACTTCATTTTGATTTGATCCATGCACTTTAAAGCTTCCTCTGTTCTCCTATCTTTTATTTTGAAATAAGTAAACTTTATTTAGTTGTGGAAATGACTAAATCATTTATAAAATGCCCATACTGTTCAGAAATTGCAGCAGTTCCTTCTTTGCTTTGATATGTTTCAGTGTACATAGGCTATTATTCTGCTGTGTTGTTTAGTTCCTAGAATCTTCTCTCTTAAATGTGGAATGGCCTTTTGCTTTTCAGTTTAAATTGTTAATTTCAATTCTCACTGATGAAAGGTGAGGCAAGCTTTATGCACTGTACAAATTCTTGACGTGGTATTTTCCTCCGATTTTATTTTGCAAATTTCCTTGATGATGATGGAGAATAGTAATATCTGTGTTTGCTCATGACGAGACAGGTTTTTGGGTGCCATCAAGCAGTACTTATGTTTATCATTGTTGAAGAACAGTGCTTCAACTCTTATGATAGTTTTCCAGTTATCTTGCTCCATTTTCATCAGTCTCGTATCCAGGTTTAGAACTGGATTAAAAGCAGAAATTGGAGTATTTTTCCCTATGATTGTTCTGAGGGTTCTGGAAAATGTAGCTCAACCTAATTTTCAGCAAAAGATGATAGTTCTTCGTTTTCTAGAGAGGTTGTGTGTTGATTCGCAGATATTAGTGGACATATTTCTCAACTATGACTGCGATGTCAATTCATCGAACATATTTGAGAGGTAAGGTATTTTTTCCTCCAATTTGATTTACTTTATGTATTATATTTTTAGTATTGCATTTGTCGATCAATTTAGAAACTATTTCGGCTGGTGTGGTGTGGTTGTCATTCAATGTACTCCTTGTGTTTCTATTTAAGTGTTTTGGCCTTTGTAGGATGGTCAATGGACTTCTTAAAACTGCACAGGGGGTCCCACCTGGTGTAGCAACTTCACTTTTGCCTCCTCAAGAGGCAACCCTAAAATTTGAGGCCATGAAATGTTTGGTTGCTGTTTTAAAATCAATGGGAGATTGGATGAACAGACAATTGCGCATTCCAGATCCTCATTCAACCAAGAAAACTGAAGCTAGTGATAACAACCATGAAACTGGAGGCCTTTCAATGGCAAATGGCAATGGAGAAGAGCCTGTTGACGGATCAGACTCTCATTCTGAAGTCTCTAGTGAATCTTCTGATGCTTCAACCATTGAGCAACGCCGGGCTTACAAACTGGAACTTCAGGTGAGCAAGCGCATGAGGTTTTGAGAGTCAATTATGTCTCTGTTCTTGCTTTAGCTTTTCATCATATATGAATCTAATTCTAAGTTTATGGCAGGAAGGTATATCCCTGTTTAATAGGAAGCCTAAGAAAGGAATTGAATTCCTCATCAATGCTAACAAGGTGGGTAATTCACCAGAGGAAATAGCTTCTTTTCTAAAAGATGCATCTGGATTGAACAAGACTTTGATCGGTGATTATCTGGGAGAAAGGGAAGAAATGTCCTTGAAGGTTATGCATGCGTATATTGATTCTTTTGATTTTCAAGGGATGGAGTTTGATGATGCAATCAGGGTCCTTCTTCAAGGCTTTAGACTGCCTGGTGAGGCCCAGAAAATTGATCGAATCATGGAGAAGTTTGCTGAACGCTATTGTAAATGCAACCCTAAGGCCTTTTCTAGTGCCGACACAGCTTATGTCCTTGCTTATTCTGTCATAATGCTCAATACTGATGCTCACAATCCTATGGTGAAAGATAAGGTTTGGTCTTATAATCCTTATATTGATGCACATATGATTCTGATTGTTGTAATCCTAGACGTGTATCATACCTTTTTATCTTGCAGATGTCCGCTGATGATTTCATAAGAAACAACCGTGGTATAGATGATGGAAAAGATCTACCAGAGGAATACTTGAGGTCATTGTTTGAAAGAATATCTAGAAATGAGATCAAAGTGAAAGATGACAACCTTGCTCCACAGCAAAAGCAGACTGTGAACTCTAACAGACTGTTAGGCTTGGATACTATCCTGAATATTGTTATTCGTAAGCGTGGGGATGACAGTTATATGGAGACCAGTGATGACCTTATCAGACACATGCAAGAACAATTCAAGGAAAAAGCTCGGAAGTCTGAGTATGTTCAGTCTTATTGCTTGTTTCCTAGAACAGATTCTTCTGTCTCAATTCTTTCCCTGGTTATATTCTCCATTTAGCCCATTCTCTTTCTGGCATGAAAATCTTCTGTCTCTACTTTTCATTCAATTCATCTTCAGGCTATTTGTTTGTCCTACCAGTTTAATGTGTATCCATCTGTTGCTTTGTCAATTTTCCCTCGAAACATAATGTATGAATCTGACACATTCAAAGCAGTTTTTTGGTGAGCTTTTATTTACTTTTATGGCAATGCTGGTACATTTTGAATTTTGAGGTTGATTTATCCTAATTTACTTTTCAAGGTTAAAAAATAGAAAAAAATTTAGGTTTCCTTCTTTATGTGTATTCTGTTGCGATTTGCAGGTCAGCCTATTATGCAGCTACGGATGTGGTAATTCTTAGATTTATGATTGAGGTGTGTTGGGCGCCAATGCTAGCTGCCTTCAGCGTTCCTCTCGATCAAAATGATGATGAAGTTGTAATAGCTCTGTGTCTTGAAGGCTTCCGCTATGCTATTCACGTTACCTCTGTAATGACCATGAAGACCCATAGAGATGCTTTTGTGACTTCATTAGCCAAGTTTACCTCCCTACATTCTCCTGCTGATATTAAACAGAAAAACATAGATGCTATCAAGGTCAGTATACCTTTTTTGCCCCCTCCCATTAGAGGGTTAGAACTTCGAACGTCTAGTTGGTTTATATGCATTGTATTGAACTGAAGTTAATATCAACTATCAGTTCTCCTTGTGTTGAATGTTCTTTTTTAGTCGTAGAGTTAGTACCTGCTTTAAAATGGATGGTGATTTAAAGGGCATATGCTGCACTTCCATCCGTGACGTCTTCAGGTCCATGTTTGCATATGTTGATCCATTTTCATTTCCATCCATGACCATTGATATATCCTTTTTAATATTCATGTCAGAATTCAGTTAAAAAATACGCTAATTTTTTGTTGCAAAATGGATTTTCGTTTGTGCAAGCACTTTAATCACTACAAACTGAAAAAGAGGATGACCCTTCCAATGGATACTGTTCCGCTCAAGTCCTCCCATGTTTGTTGAAAATTAGTCTAGGAGCAATGGCTGAAGACACAGTATAGGCCCATTAAATATGGAACCTCACGTTTCTTGGTACTTAAATTAAATGATAATTTGTTGTGGATGACTTAGGATTTCCCATCTGTTTATTGATAGGCTATAGTTACTATTGCTGATGAGGATGGGAATTACTTACAAGAAGCTTGGGAACATATCTTGACATGTGTTTCCCGGTTTGAGCATCTACATCTTCTTGGAGAGGGGGCTCCACCCGATGCCACATTCTTTGCCTTTCCTCAGAATGATTCTGAAAAACCAAAGCAAGGAAAATCAACCACTCTTCCTGTTTTGAAGAAGAAGGGACCTGGGAGGATGCAATATGCAGCTGCCACTGTGATGCGGGGTTCATATGATAGTGCTGGTATTGGGAGTAACACTTCTGGAGTCACGTCAGAACAGATGAACAACCTAGTTTCTAATCTGAATATGTTGGAACAAGTTGGAAGCTCAGAAATGAATCGAATATTCACTCGGAGTCAGAAATTAAATAGTGAGGCCATAATTGACTTTGTCAAGGCTCTGTGCAAGGTCTCCATGGAAGAACTGAAATCTCCATCTGATCCACGGGTTTTCAGTCTTACAAAGATTGTGGAGATTGCGTAAGTACTTTTTCTTTCTGCTATTTTTGGTACATGCTCCCCTTCTTGTCCTTCCTCTTGAGTCTTTTTCTGTTTAGGCAGAAGGTATTAAGATTTTTCCTCAGAAAAAGGTAAAACTAATTGCTTTTTGGCTCTTTGTTGTTTGAGGCAGTTGCTTCAACCCCGTCTTGATGTGTAGATTTATTAACTTTTCAACACTTGTTCTCTGGCTCATGGGCTACATCATTAACCTGCAGTTTAGTGCTTAATTTTCTGAGGGGGTTTTACGTTGCCCCAAAGATTAGACGTGTGAAGATGGCGGTTGATAAAAAAAGTTGTGGCAGGGGTTGACTGTATTATGATTAAGTTTCATGATTCCCTCATCTTTATACATGTTTAACTTTCTATTGTTTGGCATGATTTTTGTTCAACAGGCACTATAATATGAACCGCATCAGGCTTGTCTGGTCTAGCATCTGGCATGTCCTCTCTGATTTCTTTGTAAACATAGGCTGTTCTGGAAACCTTTCAATTGCAATTTTCGCAATGGATTCTTTGCGGCAATTGTCAATGAAGTTTCTAGAGCGTGAAGAGTTGGCTAATTATAACTTTCAAAATGAATTTATGAAGCCTTTCGTCATTGTTATGAGAAAAAGTAGTGCTGTTGAAATTAGAGAACTGATTATCAGATGTGTATCTCAAATGGTTTTATCTCGTGTCAACAATGTCAAATCAGGATGGAAGAGCATGTTCATGGTAAAGATGATAAATCCTGTGTCTTGTTAGATCTATTTTTGCAATTTTTAGTTTTGATGTCTGCTAAAAGTGTCTCTTTTCAACTTTTGTTTGTGGGCTTGATTTCAGGTATTCACCACAGCAGCTTATGATGACCACAAAAATATTGTCCTCTTAGCTTTCGAAATAATTGAGAAGATTATTCGAGATTACTTTCCTTATATCACTGAGACTGAAACCACCACCTTCACAGATTGTGTGAATTGTCTAATTGCTTTCACCAACAGTAGATTTAACAAAGAGATTAGCCTAAATGCCATTGCTTTTCTCCGTTTTTGTGCAACAAAACTAGCGGAAGAAGACCTTGGTGCTTCTTCGAGGAATAAGGACAAGGAAACATCTGGAAAGATTTCTACACCTTCACCACGAACAGGAAAAGAGGGTAAACATGATCCTGGAGAGGTGACTGACAAGGATGATCATCTCTATTTTTGGTTTCCTTTATTGGCTGGTGAGTGTAGTGTAATATCTTTAGCCAAGATTATATCAAACTTATTTTTTTACAAGGAACTGAGCTTGGGAGATGAAATTACTGACTTCTGTATATATGTGCAGGTTTGTCTGAACTTAGCTTCGATCCTAGGCCGGAGATAAGAAAGAGCGCCTTGCAAGTTCTGTTTGAAACCTTACGTAACCACGGCCATCTCTTTTCACTAGGTTTATGGGAAAAGGTATTTGAATCAGTCCTATTTCCCATATTTGATTATGTGCGCCATGCCATTGATCCTTCTGGAAGTAGTGCACTTGGGAATGAAGTGGAGCCTGAAGGTGAGCTTGATCAAGATGCATGGCTTTATGAGACATGCACATTGGCCCTCCAATTGGTGGTGGATCTTTTTGTTAAATTTTATGATACAGTCAATCCACTTCTGAAGAAGGTTCTGATGCTCCTGGTAAGCTTTATAAAGCGCCCTCATCAAAGCCTAGCTGGCATTGGTATTGCTGCATTTGTTCGTTTAATGAGTAATGCTGGGGAGTTGTTTTCTGAAGAAAAGTGGTTAGAAGTGGTTCTGTCGCTAAAAGAAGCGGCAAGTGCAACACTTGCTGACTTTTCGTTCCTTGAAAATGGTGAGTTGTTGGCTAGACATCAAGAACATAATTCAGCTGGTGATGAGTATGACGACGAACACGGTGAGTCTGGCTCTCCTGATGATAATTCTGAAAGGCAGAGGACTCATCAACTTTATGCATATTTATCAAATGCGAAATGCCGAGCTGCTGTTCAGCTTTTACTTATTCAGGTAGATTCTCATTCTGTTGCTTCAAACACGGTCAAAATTATTTTTAGAAAAAAAATGCAGTGCCCCTAGCAAATAATGGGCATGCTTATCATTGAAGTACTTTTTTTTGGAAGTGTTTGTTGTGTTTGGCCGAAATCCAACAGAGCTTTGAAGCAGTCGTAAGAGCAGTTTGTTTGTTTTCAATCATTGGGACAAGAAAATTGGAACTACAGGTTGATGCACGAATAAAATTTTATTATCATTACTTTTTTGAAAAATGCCTTTACTCAATCATTAATTACAAACATGTCCCATTTCAGCGTAGTTGTCCTCTTTTCTCATTCTTTAACTTTGCCACAGCCTCTCTCCTTTATTTATATTTTGATTTTGATTGTATGTATTATATCTTTGCGTGTGTGTGTACAAAATTGATTGTATTATATGATTTTTGATTGTATTTTGTTGTGTGTGTAGTTGGTCTTGATTTTGATTGTATGTAGTTGTGTATCATATTTTGATTTAAATGTTTGTACACTTGTTTTTTTTAAAAAACATTTTGTATAAAATTTAACTGTGGCTAATAATTAAAGTAATACCATTGAATCAATATTAATTGCAGGGTTGAATCCTTTTAACACGTTTTGGTTTTGGTTCTTATCTGTTGCAAAGACAGGTCCATGTCAATTCGAGTTATTTGTCTGTTGATAGTATAGTTATTGGAAGACTAGTCAAACATGATGGGATTACCTGTTTGATGATTTTGGAAGTAGTAATTGGTTATTTTTGGGGTTATAATACTCTTTATGCAACTTGGAAAAGGGCTTCCAAATCAGAAGAAATTCATAGTGATTCTAGGCAGGCCTATAGTTTCTATCTTAATGGACATGCGATCAATATCTTGTCACCTCGTGTTATTAATATTTTAATATTAATTTAGATCTGCTAAAATTTGTTGAACCTAGGGTTGTCTAAAAACATGCCTTTTTTTTTTGGGCTACACATAGGCAGTCCTATTTGAGGTATTTTTGAGTACTAAATGTGAGCATCTTTCCTAGTGGGGATTCGAACCTTAGTTCGTTACATTATGTGGGACCAGCTTTTTCCACTCGGTCCAATCCCCGCTGGTTAAAACATGCCTTGTTTGAATACATGTTAATGTGCACTATCACAGGAATGCATGACAGTAAAAGACATTAATTTTTTTAGTGAAAGATGCTAACACTATCTGGAATTTGCAGGCAGTGATGGAGGTCTACAACATGTATCGGTCTCACCTTTCAGCCAAAAACATGGTAGTCCTGTTTGGTGCCTTGCATGACGTGGCATTACACGCTCACAAGATTAACAGCAACAGTAGTTTACGTTCTAAGCTTCAAGAGTTTGGCTCTGTGACCCAAATGCAAGATCCCCCGCTGTTACGCCTTGAGAATGAGTCCTACCAAATATGCCTTACAGTTTTACAGAACCTTATTGAGGACCGGCCTTCAAACTATGAGGAGGCTGAGGTTGAAACTCATCTGGTCCAACTTTGTCAGGAGGTTTTGGAGTTCTACATTGACATTGCAGGTCTCAGACGAACACCTGAATCATCTGATGGGGGGCAGCCTCATTGGTTAATTCCTTCGGGCTCTGGGAAGCGACGAGAATTAGCTGCGCGTGCACCTCTTGTTGTGGCTACCCTTCAGGCCATAAGTAGTTTGGGAGATTCTTCTTTCGAGAGGAACTTGGCTCACTTTTTCCCTATCCTCTCAAACTTGATAAGCTGCGAACACGGTTCAAATGAGGTCCAGGTGGCCCTCAGTGACATGCTTAGTTTAACAGTTGGTCCTGTTTTGCTTCGTTCAAACTGATCTTGGCCATGCATTTCAAGGCGTAGGATAATTTTTGGTCTAAGATTTTTTTGTTTATATTTTCCCCTCGTTTGCCTCTCCTTTCTCAGATATAGCTTGATAGTAGTACATGAAAAAGATGGTAGCAGTTTTCTCCTAGCTGTACCTTCCAAATCTTCTGTATTCAGAAGCCTCCATTTTCCAATCCGAATTGTGTATCGATACAGGTGGTTTAATGTTGTATGCTTACGTTTTCCCCTCATTTTTGACATTAGAGTGATACCTATAAAGTTTGAGATTTACTTTTCTTGATATATTTATTGATTTAATTGTTGCTGGGCAGTGATGCTAAACTTGACTCCATTCAGCTATGTGGTTTCAGTAACACAGGATTTGTTGCCTTGTATGAATATTTGCACGGTGTTTAATACAGGAGCTTGCTACTGACACTGACAACCCAAATTTACAGCAGCTTCGTTTGGGTGAAAATAATTGAGCCAAGTCATTTTCCCTGGTTTATCTATGTTAATGATAGTGGAGCTCCTGATATGCATTTCAGACAAGTCCGTTTGTGTGAGAGTGGATAAATATATCTTATTTAGAGTAGAAAATATAACAAGTTTATGAAAAATTTTCCCCCCTTTTTGAATAAATGTATAAATTTAGAAGATATAAATTTGCATAATGTGTTTTGAGTGGCTTGGATAGGTGACTAAAGTGTTTTTTATGACAATCTAATTGGATTAGATCAGGTTCGATTGACGTGGCTTTCCCAGAGCTATTTTTTCATGTTCGCAGACTCAAGATCTCAGACTTAGGCATCGCGTTTCATGGCCTAAATGTACATCTGCACCGGTACAGGTTATTTTTGGGATTTTGAAGTTGTTTGGATTGACTTCTTTTTGTGATGGGCTTATGGGGTCTAATGAGCTGTTGGGCAGAAGTTATTTTTTTTTGGCTTTTGGAGTGATGAGCGGTTGGGGGTGAGGGACGGTGGGGTGTGCAGGGGAGAAAAAAGAAGAAAGAGAAGAGATGATGATACTGGACATGAACAGTTTTTTTTTTTTTTTACATTCACATGTTGTAAAAGTGGAACAATAAATTAAGGATAATATTTTTTTAGTAAATACTGAACATAAATTATTTCAAAAGTAAATACTAACGTAAAATTGGAAAAAAAAAAGAAGAACCGTGCTATTTTTCATTTATTTACTTAATGTTTTTTTTTTTGTAAAAAAAGATATCTTTTTGTTGTGGGCTTCTGGGAGAAGTAAACTTTCGGTGCGTTTTGGGGTGCTGTGGGCGATGAAAGAAACTGTTGAAAAATTTATGGCTATGTTAAAATTTTTTACCCACCTGACCCTCACCCCTGCATGAATATTCTCTCACCTCAATAATAAACAAAATCACAAGTTCACAACACACACACACTCCTCCGTTGGAAAATTGTCACATTATATATATAATTCCTTTATAACAATAAATTAAATTTTCTTATTTTTAATAATTTTATTTTCAGTACCTTTTTTAAAATGGCCACATTATACATATAATTTTTTTCTAATAATAAATTAAATTTATTTACTTTTAATAATTTTATTTTCCTTCTTAAAAAATAGTCACATTATATATATATATATATCTAATATTAGATATATACTATCTAATAAAATTTATGTCCTTTTAAGTCATTTTACATCCAAACTTACTTTTATATTTATCATCCAAACAAGTTTCAGCTTCTCAAACTGACTTTTTTTCAAAATCCAATCCAAACATAAATCACATTACCTTATCTGACTTTTATTCAATCTGACTTCTGTAAAAGTCAGATTGAAAAAAAAGTTACTTCTCTACCGCTAATCCAAACACACCCTTAAGTAGTTAGAATTCCTTCCACTAGCATACGCCTGTGCTTTTTTTTTTTTAATGGTACAAGAGAAGGGTAAAGCCAAGAACATTAAAATACTATATTACTATTTGGAATTAAATCCCAGACTCTCTTTTCCACCTTAAAGTGGAAAATACCCTCCATCATTTTATCAGCAACCTTGTTTTGTTATGAATAACCTTTAGGGTTTGTTTGGCTCAATTAGAGGCTCAATGAGAGGAGGGGGGAGGGGAGGAGAGTAAAAGATTTTAATATTACCTTGTTTGGATTTATAAAAAAAGAGAAGAAGAGAGGAGTTTTAACATTACCTTGTTTGGTTCATCAGGGGAGGAAAAGGAAAAATATTTTGACATAGACAATTTTGCTCTTATTATATTTAAGATTATTTTTTCAAATTTTATAGAATGTTTAATAAAATAGAATTGTAAATAACATTTAATATATTGAGCAATACTTATACCAAAATCTTAATATACTCTAGAATGTGAAGTATTATTGAAAAGAAGACTGAAATAATGTTCATCCACAACTTGTATTGTATCCCATCTTTGAATAAAATATTTGGTCATGCAAATGAGAGAGTAGAGTCTAGAGATAAGAAGAAAAAGATTTAGGATAGCATAAAAATATTAAAAATAAATGAGTATAATGGTTACACATGACAAAATATTGTCATTTTCCTCCAAATCCTCCCAATTTTGGAGGGGAGGGAAAATTTTAAAAAAATTTCCTTATCTCCTAAAATTTGTGTGTTGCCAAACAAGGAGAAATGATTAACATCCTTCCCCTTAAAATTTTCCCTCCTCTTCTAAAATTTATGTGTTGCCAAACAAGAAGAAATGATTAAAATCCTTCCCCCTCCCTTCCCTCCCCTCCAAATCCCTCATACCAAACTCACCCTTAGCTCCCAACGGTATCTTATCAGCTTTTTAATTTGCGTAAACATCAAATTGCAGTTTCACTCACCATTATATCAGTAAGATTCTTTGCATCCGACTCAAGGATAACTGCCTTGAATCTTATGTCCCAAGCAAGATGGTGATCCTCAAATAGGATAACTATTCGACTTTTCTTATGGCATAGACTAATTGCTGATGGACTAGTCATATGGAAGCCCGCATAGAATAACTGACCCATGCACACAAAATTTATATAAATTTATAAGTCAGAAATTTTTCTAAAACTTAGGATAAGGTATAGATTCACAATCTAATTGCATATTTACATGCAAGTCTTATTTATAATATAGAGAAAGAGAAATTATTTGTTTCTTTCCATAATATAAATTGCCTTATTAAATTTACTATATAAGTGTATAATATAAATTTTGTAGATTTTATTTTCTTAAAAAGTTATTAAATTTTAAGATAAAATTAATAAGAGTCAGGTTTTTTTCCTTATTTTATTATAAATAAGATAAAAAGAGTACTACTTCTAGTCCTAAATATAAGAGCTAGATGAGGGGTTTATTTTGATCCTCTTGATTACACATTTTCATTAAGGATTGTTATAATTTAGATGATTAAAAAGTTTTAGGGAAACCTATATGCACTTGTGACAAATAACTTAGTAGACTAATATTCTTAATCTACTTAAATCAGTTAAGTAGTTTTTATATTGAGGAGCGGTAGTAGTATATTTAAGTGATGTATAAAAGTCAACATACAAGTTGAGGCTGCAATAACTGCTTCAATGGACAAATTTTAAGAAAGAATTTCACAAAAAGGAGTTTGAAATTTAATAATTTCTATAAGAATGTGTTGTTATTTGTGAGTTCAGTGTTATCAAAATCTATTAAAGTGTGATTATCATTTGAAATTTCGTAACTTCAAGTTTTTTTGTGTGTGAAATTCTCGCTAAGTTTAATATACACAATTTTAGTGTTTTAACAAGAAGATAACATTCGGACCCAAAAATATAATAATAAGATAAGATGGATGGATTGGGAAACCTAGGACCAAATTGTAAGATACAATGGGCTTGAACAAAGACACAGGAAACAGAATGGATAAGAAAAAATGCTTTTTTTTGGAGGCGCAAGTGATCTTATCTGAATCAATCATTCAGGTCTTTGTTTTAATTAGATTTCGATAATAATTTTATCTTAAATATATTGCCTATTTATCAACAAAATTAAATGGGAAAAAGACAGAAAAATGCACCTCCAACTCCAAAAGCCCAAAAACGTCCGCCGAATTTGACAAATCCCGTTTTGGTACCAGCAGACCATTTTGGGATTATTTTCTTAGACGAAAAGACCAAACCGCCCTCAGTGTTATTTTAAACAAAAGTTGGGAACAGAGGCGGTTTTTCGACTCTCTCATTCTCGATCCCTATTGAAGCCGACAGAGCGAAGAAGAGAGGAGAAGAGAGCGGAGGAGGAAGCTACTACCGGCGTCGAAGAAGAGAGAAGAGAAGAAGGAAGAGCGTTTGGTGGTCACCGTCGAAGAAGAGAAAGGAAAATAACGATGGAACGGCTACATTGCGGCAATCGATCGAAGGTGAGGAAGAGAGAAGAGGAGGAATTTGCGGTGAGACAGAGGTAAGTTTGTTAACATTCCTTCCTTCTCTGTGTTTGTTGAAGTTATATATTTGATACTGCTACTACTTTTAAGATGTCGATCGAATGTGTGTGAGAGGGAGTGGGCAGTTTCTGGAGATGAAAATGACAAAGTGAATGTGCAGAAAGTGGAGGACCCAACTAGATTGCTTGGATTTCACCATATGATGACTTATATACTTTCAGGAGTGTGGACCACATACACAGCCCACACCCCCGTACCTTTTCTTTTCTTGTTAATGATTTCACTGTTTCATCACTACTTTATCTCTACCTTTTTGTTCTTTTCATTCACATTTCCCACTCCTCCAGCCCAGCCACCAAGCTATTCCTGTCAGCTTAATTAACATCGATGACATTGTTATCTCTATGGACAATAACCCAAAAGTCGTTCTTTTTGGCCATAGATAGTTGAGATGTAATAGGTACCTTAAGAAGCAACCGCAAATATTGTCTTTCATCTATTAGCCTAAGTTAAGTGCATATTAGTATAATTGTATAGTTTGATTTAAGGTATGAATCGCAGTGATGGTGTGGGGGAGTGTGTATAAGGGTGTAGAGGGGGCCAAACTTAAAATAATTATTTGAAAAAAAGGTGAATGTTCACACTCTCATGTAAATATATATATGTTGTTAATCCCTACACTGGAGTTGTAAAATTGTAACCGAAGTTGGAGAAAAGGGTTTGTGTTTTCTTGAAAATGCTGTTGTGAATAGCCATACTGAAGTTGTAAAATATATATAGATGTTGTTAATCCGTACACAAGGGTTGTAAAGTTGTAACCGAAGTTGGAAAAAGGGGTCTGTGTTTTGTTGAAAATACTGTTGTGAATAGTCATACTGAAGCTGTAAACATGTATATAGATGTTGTTAATACCTACACCGAAGTTGTAAAATAGTAACCCCGAAGTTGGAAAAAGGGGTCTGTGTTTTCTTCAAAATGCTGCTGTGAATAGCCATACTGAAGTTGTAAATACTTATATAGATGTTGTTAATCCCTACACTGGAGTTGTAAAATTGTAACCGAAGTTGGGAAAAGGGGTTTGTTTTCTTGAAATGCTGTTGTGAATAGCCATACTGAAGTTGTAAAAGTATGTATATAGATGTTGTTAATCCGTACACTGGGTTGTAAAGTTGTAACCGAAGTTGGAAAAAGGGGTCTCTGTTTTGTTGAAAATACTGTTGTGAATAGTCATACTGAAGCTGTAAACATGTATATAGATGTTGTTAATACCTACACCGAAGTTGTAAACTAGTAACCCCGAAGTTGGAAAAAGGGGTCTGTGTTTTCTTCAAAATGCTGCTGTGAATAGCCATACTGAAGTTGTAAATACTTATATAGATGTTGTTAATCCCTACACTGGAGGTGTTAAGTTCTAACCGAAGTCGGAAAAAGGGGTTTGTTTTCTTCAAAATGTGTTGTGAATAGTCATACTGAAGTTGTAAATATGTATATAGATGTCGTTAATCCCTACACTGGAGTTGTAAAGTTGTAACCGAAGTTGGAAAAAGGGGTCTCTGTTTGCTTGAAAATACTGTTGTGAATAGCCATACTGAAGTTGTAAACATCTATATATATGTTGTTAATACCTACACCGGAGTTGTAAAATAGTAACTCCGAAGTTGGAAAAAGGGGTTGTGTTTTCTTGAAAATGCTGTTGTGAATAGCCATAATGAAGTTGTAAATACTTATATAGATGTCGTTAATCCCTACACTGGAGCTGTTAAGTTCTAACCAAAGTCGGAAAAAGGGGTCTGTGTTTTCAACAAAATGTTGTTGTGAATAGTCATACTGAAGTTGTAAATACTTATATAGATGTTGTTAATCCCTACACTGGAGGTGTTAAGTTCTAACCGAAGTCGGAAAAGGGGTTTGTTTTCTTCAAAATGCTGTTGTGAATAGCCATACCGAAGTTATAAATAACTATATAGATGTTGTTAATCACAAGTTCCTAATTGTTTTCTGACATGCTTGTATTAATGTGTAATGTGCAGAAAAAATGGTGTTGGAGGGAGAGACATCAACTTCAAAAGGGCCAAGGAATGGGTATGTCTTATTTAGAGAGGAATTTGCTCAAGGGAAAAAATTCAAGGGTGTAGTAGATAGAACTAACAAGGCGAAAGAGGCATGGGCAAGGCTCTCTATTAAGGAGAAGAAAATATATAGTGAAAGGGCCAAACAAATGAGGCCGGAGAAGAAGAAGAGTAAGAGAGTATGGAAAATGTTCACCCGTTGCTCTGTTCGTCAATTCATGTCACTGGCGGAATTTGTTAAGAGTGATGAAAGTTTAAGACAAAGGATAGAGAACATAGGATTCTCTAAGTTGTTGGATGTGGAAATTGACAAACTCCCACGTGAGTTAATTGTAGCTTTCATTCAATCGTACGATCCAGCAACACATCAGTTCCGATTAAGGGGGAGGACAGAAGAAGTTGAGGCAAACGATGTGGGAACATTGCTTGGTGTGCCCCATACTGGGGAAGAGGTAAAAGGAGATGTTGATGAAAATCATGACACATATAAGAAGCTGAGGAGAAAGTATTTAAATGTTGTTTATAGCAAGATATTAGCTGACATAAAAAGTGGGACGGATGATGAGCATTTTGAACTATTATTTATGTTGGTCACACTTGGCACATTTCTAGCTCCAACTTCAAGTGCAAGAGTTGGTGAGAAGTTATTAAGGGTGGTATGTTCAACTATGAATGGGTATGAACAGTATGATTGGGCAACGTACATCATGAATGACCTCTACAAGGAAATGGAAGATTATGTGAATTTGTTCAGGAAGGAGAGGGATCCGTGCTGCACTGTGGGTGGCTGCCTGTACTTCTTGGTGGTATGTTTAGAGCAAAACATGTTGTTCAATGTTAATGTAACTGTTTAATTCAATTGGCTAATGCGGTGTGTTCTATGATTGTGGTTGCAGCTATATTTGGGTGAGAAATTCCCATTGTCAAAAGCTACTAACCATGACCCAACAAATGCTATTGCATATTGGACGGATAAGAGAATAAAGGAATTGGTCAACAAAGAGTCAAAGAGTAACATAGGCCTATTGTACAAAGGGAAGTCTACAAAAGTGGTCGAAGATACAATAAGTGTTGCTCATCTACGGCCGGTATGTTTGTAGTTTTGTATGTATAAAATTCATTAGTATGTAAAGAGTTTAACTGTTTAGCAAATGTGTTAGCAGGAATTGAAGCAAGTGCATCGAAGGATGATGGATGCACTTGAGGAAAGCCATAAAAGGCTTAGTAACCAATTTGCAGAGGAGCTTATGAAGGTGCAGCTCCATCTACAGGGGATGCCAAGTTCAAATCTGAGGGACCTTGTTGACAACACACGCGATGAGGCAGTGATTCTTCCATCTGATGGTAAAGGTGAAGAGGGAGGTAGTGACAAAGGTTATAGTGATGGAGATACTGCTGAAGGTGAAGCCCATGATCAGGAAAGAGGTAGTGATGAAGGTGATGAGGATGGAGAGGAAGGAGACAGTGAGAAAGGTGATGATGAAGGAGATAAAGGGGTGGAGTCATCAGATGAAGAGACTGACAAGGGAGAAGACCAAAGGCCATCAAAGAGAACAATCATTCCAAGTCGTCAAGTAACTTCTCCATGGATTTCCATGTTGAAGCCTGTTAAGAGAGGAGAAAGAGAGTGATAACTGAGAAAGACAAGTTTTTCAACATTGTCTCTCGTATGTGTTCACGGGAGGAGGGTCAGAAGTAAGATATGCCGTGCATGGAACATTGAAAGCAGGAAATTTTTTTCATCTTGTTTTGTTATTGTTGTTTTACATATGATGTATACATTGCAGGATTATGGTTACAATGTGTGATGAACAAATTGATCGGGATCAATTGCGCACGATAGGTGGAATCGAAAGAGTGAGCCCTCTAATAACAATGGTCGGTAGGGCATTAATGGCAGAGGCAGGTGAGGGAGGACAAGTGAGGCGACACATTTTTGATGCTGAGTTCATGGTGAGCCCTGTGGTGTGTACGGTTTGTTTGACAATTACGGGTTGTGATGATTAAACTAATATGTTGTTTTGTAGATGAAAATGCTTGGTAACCCTTCTCAGTGGCGAGCATCAGAGAACAAACGTGCTATTTTGCCACAGCATATCGGGTACAACCTAGGTGACTGTGATTTAATATTTGGACCCGCAATTGTTGAGTCTCACTGGTTTTGCTTTGTGTTGGAGCCAAAAACAATGCATTTTTATGTCCTGGACTCCATGAGGCTGCCTAATGATATGCCAAAGAAGACCAAGAAGAAGGATTCATTGGAAGAAAAAAGGATGTTTCATCTTCATGCATGTGTAAGGACTAAACTAATGTATCTGTGTATCACAAGTGCCCAATGTTTCCACCTTTTTATCTCATATTTTGGATTTCTGTTGTCGGTTTGCAGAGAGACAACTTTTATGATATAATTGCATTAGTCAGACCTCAACTTGTTGGGAAGAAGCCTAAGACTGATATTATTTTTGCACCTGTTCCACAACAGAACAACTTGTATGTTGTGTTGACTGTTGACATTGTTTTCTAGTTTAAGATGTGAATTGCAGAAGCAGACATACTAACTTAAATGTTTTATTTCCCATTGGATGTATAGGAGAGATTGTGGTGTTCATGTGTTGATCTGGCTAAGCAAATGGGTCCCGGATGTGACATTTGACTTCAATGAGGTATGAAAGTTGTCTGTAATTAATGATTAATTATTTGCCAGGTACGGTGGACATTAACATATGGACCTGTCTTATATGCAGAATCATGTAGCTGAGTTTAGGCGTGAGCTAATGTGGTGGCTAGTTAATCATCCGCAAAATTCAAGTCGTGAAGAAGCCTTAACTCTCCTCTCAGAACAGCAGAACAAGACAACCACCAAAAGACGACGTTTGTCATAGTACTTAGTAGGAGGTTCCTTTTACATGTCCATGTGACACTCTGATGTAGTTCCATGTTATTTAACTTTGGAGAACATTTATGTACATGGCAGAAGGACTGATTTCAAGATTAGTAATTGTGTCTTGTTAGCAACGGGTTCATACCATTTGCGACATTAGTAGTCAGACTTTATGGTAAATTTTAAACTCCAATATAAGTATTAACAGCATCATTATATATGTTTCCAACTTGTGTATCGGTTTTCACAACAGCATTCACGAGATGAAAACAAGTACCCCTTTTTACAACTTCGGTGAAGCTTTTAACAACTTCAGTATAGGTTTTTCACAACTCATGTATACCCGTTAGTAATGGGTCCCTTGCACGCCCACACCCAAGTGGGAAACGTGTTGAAGATCGGGAGAAATTTTACAACTCCAGTATATGCATTAACAACATTATTATAAGTTTTTACAACTTCAGTATAGGTTTCACAACAGCTTTCTGAAGATGGAAACAAATACCCCCTTTTACAACTTCGGTGAAGCGTTTAACAACTTAAGTATAGGTTTTTCACAACTCAAGTATACCGTAAGCTAACGGGTCCCTTGCATGCCCACACCCTCGTTGGAAACGTGTTGAAGATCGGGGAGAAATTTTACAACTCCAGTGTATGCATTAACAACATTATTATAAGTTTTACAACTTCAGTATAGGTTTTCACAACAGCTTTCTGAAGATGGAAACAAATACCCCTTTTACAACTTCGGTGAAGCGTTTAACAACTTAAGTATAGGTTTTTCACAACTCAAGTATACCCGTAAGCTAACGGGTCCCTTGCATGCCCACACCCTCGTTGGAAACGTGTTGAAGATCGGGGAGAAATTTTACAACTCCAGTGTATGCATTAACAACATTATTATACGATTTTACAACTTCAGTATAGGTTTTCACAACAGCTTTCTGAAGATGGAAACAAATACCCCCTTTTACAACTTCGGTGAAGCGTTTAACAACTTAAGTATAGGTTTTTCACAACTCAAGTATACCCGTAAGCTAACGGGTCCCTTGCACGCCCACACCCTCGTTGGAAACGTGTTGAAGATCGGGGAGAAATTTTACAACTCCAGTGTATGCATTAACAACATTATTATATTTTTTACAACTTCAGTATAGGTTTTCACAACAGCTTTCTGAAGATGGAAACAATACCCCCTTTTACAACTTCGGTGAAGCTTTTTAACAACTAAGTATAGGTTTTCACAATGCTTGTACCCTCGTTGGAAACGTGTTGAAGATGGGGAGGGGAGAAATTTTACAACTCCAGTGTATGCATTAACAAACATTATATAAGTTTTTACAACTTCAGTATAGGTTTTCACAACAGCTTTCTGAAGATGGAAACAAATACCCCCTTTTACAACTTCGGTGAAGCTTTTAACAACTTAAGTATAGGTTTTCACAACTCAAGTATACCCGTAGCTAACGGGTCCCTTGCATGCTGTACCCTCGTTGGAAACGTTGGAAACGTGTTTAAGATCGGGGAGAGAAATTTACAACTCCAGTGTATGGCTTAACAACATTATTTTAAATTTTACAACTTTAGTATCGGTATTCACAACAGCTTCCTCAAGATGGGGGAAAAAACCCCTTTCACAACTTCGGTTAACCTTTAACAACGTCAGTATAAGGTTATCACAACGCAGGTATACCTGTAACCACCTGGTTACAGGCGTGCTTACGCCCTCTTTAGAAACGTGTTTACAGACTAAACCCACTTCAATATGCGTTCCCAACAGCATTTCCAATAATGACTAAACCCACCATATTACAACTTCAGTAAACCATATAACAACCCCTAAATAATGTTTCAACAACTCGAGTAAAAGTTTAACAACTGTCATAAAACAAAATGATCGTAATACCCATATTTTTAACTCAGTTCAAATGAAGTTCATATACGATGATCATACTTAAAAACATAAACATAAGGCAACAATATCAAACATGAATAATAAGGGGACTCGTCTTGCAACTTCTGTCATTGTTAACAACACAGTTAAAGGAAATAACAACTTCAATATAGGTATTTTCCTATAACCAGATCCTTCCTGACAGTACTTACAATCAGTGACAGGCTAACATTAATATTTCATCCCCACTTAATGTTTTCTTGTCACTGACATCAAAATACACATTTCACTGACTATGTGTGACTTACGATGTCGACTTAACATGACACAACCCTTCATCCAAAAAAATATGAAGAGTTGCAAAATATTTACAAGCCACAACAAAAAATAACCTTTACAAAATAAACCCACACGTGGACTACCAATTTTAACTTGGGTTTGGATTTCTGCATGTTCTTTTACTATGCCCAGGTTCATGACACTGTCCACAGTGGTAAATCTTCCTGTTTTGGAATTGGGATTCCCGCCTCCTAATTCTTGGCCTTCCCGAAGGTCTACTAGTTGTAGGTGGGTATAGCCACACTTGGTTTCCTATATTTTGCAGCATATAATCATTAGGATTAGGCCTGTCAATTGTCACTACTGGAATCATGGTGTTCCCATAAATCTTCTCTTGGGATGTTATTTTATAACAGTCCTCCACAAAAATCATACACATTTGCATGAACCACCCTTATTGCAGCACAAGCGTGTGGACACGGAATCCCTGTCATTTGCCATGCAGCACAAGTGCATTCATGTGACTGAACATTGACATATAAGGCTCCACGCGAAGTATGTACACAGACCCTACCACCTCCATAAGGTTCACCATGCATATGAATCGATCTAGCCACATTTTCCATCACTTTTCCATCAATGTTTGGACCCACACCATTTCTCCAGTTCCTCATTGCCACACTTGCTGCGAACATCTTCCTTGCAACCTTCTCACGATGTTCATGAATAAGTTGGGCAACATTATGCTGCCTTTCCTTTACAATCCAAGCATTGAATGACTCAGCAATGTTCGTTGTTATGTTATCCCACCGTTTATATGCAAACTTGCTCATTGCCCACTTATGAATATCACCATGATTGTTAAGCCACTGAAGTAACTGAGGACTGAAATTTCCCATCCTTGTCATTGCCTTATCAAACTCAACGTTAACCCTTGCATATGCAATGTCATCAAGCAACTTTAATCCAACTTCCTTACTAATACCACTAGTTCTCCTCCTACCTCTGTATAATTTATTCATTTCAGAGCTGAAATTTTCCTTCACGTGTCTATAACAGTATGCATGACGGTCACCTCCAAATATTGCTCCAACAGCTCCTATTATTGCATTGTGACGATCTGACACAATAATTAATTGGATTGCACCAACTATCTGTTTTATCATGTTTAAGAACCATGCCCACTCCTCATAAGTCTCTCCTTTCACAATAGCATACGCGAATGGTAACAATTCATTGTCCGCGTCATATGCTGAGGCTGATAGCAGTGTTCCCCTATATGGTCCACTCAAATGTGTTCCATCTATGTACAGTATATGTCTTGCCCCAGACAAAAAACCCTCTATGCAACAACCATATGCTATGAAAACACGCTCAAATATATTGTTAACAGTTGCTACCCATTCAGCTACCGTCTTCTCATCGGTTTCCTTCAATCGTTGACATATCCATGGTATCAACATGTATGACTGTTCAGGCCTCCCTTGTATTTCCTCTAATGCTTTTTCCTTAGCCCTATATGCTTGCTTATATGTCAACTTCACACCATAATCCCTTGCCAAGGTCCTCCTTATTTCATTTGGACGCTTTTCAGTGTGATCCCTTACCTCCTCAATGATAATTGATGATGTCAAGGCTGCTCTTCCACCATGTGTAACTTGCATCATCTCTTGGGCATTATGCACATGTTCATTACTCAGTCGAGTTACAACGAGGAAAGGACTTCTCTTCGCAGCTACTCTTGCTATTATCCGCCAAGGACAACCTTCAACTTTGCATTTCACATGCACACATTCCTCACAATTTTTGACATATTTGTACTCGAAGTTTTCTGCAATACTAAACTTATATACTGCCTTTCTGAATTCTGTGGCATTTGCAAAAGTTTGCTTCTTTCCTAACAACAATTCCTTCCACTTCACAGCATTCATCTCGGGCATTGGTGTTGGTGCAATCTCTACTGTACTTACTAGCCTCACATGACATCCCCCACCGCCTTCTCTTACACAGTCACCCCCATTTTCATCACAAACTGTTCCGTCCATATTATTCTCCCTACTTGACAAAAAACACATTTGTTGTGACAATCCCAAGTAGTTGTCAATGCTGCATGCATAATTACAACTTTTGTTAGCAAATTCACAACAACAATATAACAAATAACAACTAAAATAACCATAAAAAAACAAGTCTCACATTTGTGGATCATCCATTACTTCCGGTGTACTCTCCTTCAATGCTAGATACACATGTGCACTAGTGTCATTATACTGAAAAAGATTATCAACTTCACTATCATCAACCAAATCTACTAATGCCTTATCATCGAGGCTCACTGTATATTTCATGTCACAAATATTAACATCTATATCAAACCATTCCAATATCATTAACCTCAACTCTTCGTATCTTATCCCCTGTTTTATCGTTCTAACTCTCACACTCCCACCATTGTATCTCATTTCACCTTCAACATTATTAACAAAGTTTCCACCAAGATGAAAAATCAACGCAAGTGTCTTTGAATATGTTGACCCAATATTGCAACTCATTCTGCATTATACCCTGCAACAAACAAGGAAAATATTTCATCACAATGTCATCTCTGTAAAAAGGATATTTCATAAACCAACACAGCTACTTTCAAAGTTAACAACTTCAATATATCGTTTCACAACTCCACTTTAACTATTAACAACACCCTTCACAACCTCATTACTATGGATATTCGGCCTACTTATATACGTGATCATCGCAGCGCTTCTTCCAATTTCCCTCAGCTACCATCTGCTATCCCCAAAAACAGATCATTATAAACACCGTCCCAGACTAAGCTAACTCTATCACTCACTACCCGACTCATACGTTCCATTCCCACAAGTTAAAAAACAACAACCAATACCTCCAGATGAATCAACTTACGATTGCTGCAGCATCGTCTCCCTCTTAAGCTGACAAAACTAACTTGGCCAGAACCCTAACCTTATCTAACAGTAATCAACTCATTTGTTCAGATTGATGACCATTCTCACACCTAAAAAAGGAAAAACCAACACCCCAATATGAAGAACGTATGCCTTACGTAATGCCGCCCCTTACCTACTCTGAACCCTCAACGCCACATACAGAACGCAGGACCACCAAAATGAAGAAAACAGACCGCAACAGTCATGCAGGAGGATGGATGAAACAGTCATATGATTCCAGAAAAACACTTACCCTTTCGAAACACCACGTTTCGTCACCTTCGACCTGCTGGAACGCGCACGTTCTCTCCTTTCCTTCCCGCCTATCTTCCTGTGTGTGGTTTATTGTGGTGCCCATGTGGTGCCCACGCTTTGTAATGGGTGAGGGCGGTTTGGTCTTTTTGTCTAAGAAAATAATCCCAAATGGTCTGCT